AACATCTGCATATTCTCATTAAACTCCAATGTAATTACTGTGTAAATGATTCATTTTCACTTGGGAGAAATTTCGCAGAAAAAAGAAAGGGTAATAAAAATAGCAATGAACACAAAACATAAAAAAAATCCTGAACTCATTTTGGAAGTTTGGCTATCAGCACAAGGATGTAATAGGGATGCTGTATATATCAATGTGGATATCTTATCTGGAGGCTACATCCTGACACATAGCGCCTCTACCCTACCCTGGTTTACTACACAAGCCCTTCGTACCCAACCCTCCAGATCTGTAGTTTACATAACTAAGCCCACAGATACACAATCTTGCCTGACTCAGCTTCTGCCACCAAGAGATAACCGGTGATGTGCCTAGTCCCTTACAAAGTACCTATATCTACTCTGTATGCATTAGGCTATCACATCCAAGTAACTTACAACCTACCATTATCTTCACCATATGCATTACAATATCGATAAAGATACACAACAAAAACTTTCCGATAACTGTTTTTTTACATTTTGACTAACCTAACACTTAAAGTTATATGCAGATTTAGATCCAGGGTGTTTCAAATGACTTCAGTGCTAGCTTTTCCTACATGTGGACTATATATAAACAGACACAAATGGGTAGTTCTACTGACATGATCCATTTTTTGATAGAATTAATCTTTTTAAGCCACAAATTAATAAAGACTTATACTTGCAAATTCTGCAAAAACTTTTATTCCAAACAAAACAGTTTTGAAATGCAACCAAAATGTTGTATGTTTGCATATTTTTAATAACTGTTCGCTTTGTGTTAAATATTTATCATATCATTATGTAAATGTATTTTCCCATGGAATGTTGAAATGCCAGGGAAATGCCACTGAAATGTTTCAGCTCTATAACGTTTACTGGAGTGTTTACCCATTGGTTATGTGTATGCCAGTAAAATGTTATATCCTGTATCCTGTTAGGGGACAATCGAGACCAACGCCCTGCACACTGTTCACGACAAATCTTGCTAAACACAAACTTCCTTTATATCACTTCAAGTCACCACAATGATCTAAGCTATTTCTATCCGCACAAAATACTGATACTTATGCTGTATTAATGAAATTTCAACAAAATTAAAAATTAATATATGCATACATGCTGTAAATAATACATACAGCTATAGCATTACCAGGTTTTATTTAGGATTTTTTCATATTGATAATCATTAAAAGAATTTCAAATTTAAATTAATTAATTTCATTAATTATACAAGACAATAACAGCATTGAAGGCAATTAACTATTCAACTGGTCTATAACACAAGTTAAGTTAATGCCAAGTATTTTTGACATTCTACTGACTAAATTACCAGAGACATTGTTAATTATATCAGATGTGTTTACATAAGTAACTAATTACTGAATACACAAAATAATGAAGAAAAAAAATATTACGGTGAGAACGAAAATTGTTCATTAACAGAAATAGGCCAATTACTCATGACATTATGAGTGTGTTATAAGTATATATAAAGGGAAAGTACACCGACAAATTCTGCGGTACATTATGTGATTTAACTACACAGATTTGACCTACTGATGTGGTGCCAAGTTTGCTTGTACTATAAAGACCGAAGTTCATTCCAGGCTAGCTACTCATAATTTACTGTGGTCCTTTCCACATTTTTTGGGTTTCATCTATACCAGAGGAAATCATAGGGAGAACGAGACCAAATCACAATCACCTAAGCGCTTATTTTCTAAATAACTGTTTTCCATTGCAAAAGAGGGTACACCGCAGGACATCATACAGTAATCAATTAGCTAAAGCATTTTGTACACGAAACATTGGTCTCTTCAGGAGCACAGGAGAATAGCTACGAGTACCAAGAGTAATGAACTCTATCATTTCCTACATCATTTATCGGCAAGTACATCCAAAGAATTTTGACGATGTATGTTATTGCAATATTACACACCTTGGCTTCCCAAACTTGTTAACTGGAATTAGGGTAGTACAGTATCTAATCACAGGGAAGGGGTATCCCAAAAAGCACAGGAAGATTCCAGAAAACTAGCTATCAAAGGTGTCTACCAAGACTGCCAATAAACTCCTATAACCCTTGAAGTTGCCAACTTTAACAATTTCCTTTACGAAGGTGCTAGAGTGAAACTTTTACTTACGAGTAATTAATTCTAGCTTTCTCTACATAATTCTTTGGCTTGTAGAGGTAGGGTTGAGCGTCTCTGATGGACACTGGCGGACTGTTGGCGAGAGCATTCTCCATACAGCTTTCAAAAGACAGACTGTACATGGACCCTGGTGACATTGTCCCGTTGGCGTTGAAGGTGCTGTTGAACGTATTATAGGGCGACACAGAATTTGCACTATAGGAGCTGACTCCAGGGGTCATTGTAGGTCCTGGGGTCAAACCTGGTGTCCTACTTAATGTATTCTGAAAACAAAAATGCTCAGGCTCAACGTATATGCATATAAGTTGTGATTTTCTTTAATAATGTTCATTTTAGCTTAATCTACTACAAAACTTATCTCTGAAAACCATCCAGAACCAAGGGAGACTACTCTGATCTGTGATTATGGGCTTGTGTTTTTGAAAGGGAGAACATACATTAGGTTATGAGGAGACTTTTCTGTCTTGTGTAGGCAGACTTGCATAATGTGGGGTGCAGACTATTCTATCTTTTTTTCCTTGCATTAAGGGGAAGACAACTCTACTCTTTTTTAATGGACCTACATTAGGTAACTGAAAATCGGCTCTGACTTTAGAAGGACTTAAATTAGGTGAGGGAGAGACAATTCTGTCCTGTGATGGTAGACTTGCCTTGGAATAGAGGGAGACTTCTCTACCTTGTGTTGGTGGACTTACGTTAGGAGAGGGTCCTGCTGGACTCCTGCTGAAAGGACTCAGCCTATCCAGACTGCCGGACGATGAGTGATGCACAGTACCGTTTCCATTCACACCCATTACCAATTCATCCTTCGAGTCTTTCTTTTTCTTTTGGTTTAAATTTTCTTTTATACTCTTCTTTAGGTCATCTTTGTCCAGGTACCTCATAATGGATAGTTCCTCGGGATGTCGTATACCTTCAAAGAAAACATCATTATACCAGTCACTGATATATTCAACGATGTGAAAATGCTCGGCACTTACACCCTCATTTTTTATACCCTCTTAGTCTTTTCTCATTATACTGGTAAGTGCTTTTTGGGTCTTCTTTGGCCGACATTAAACAAGCACAGGCTGAATTGCTCTCTTTGTATAACGTTGGTAAAAATGTTTTTTTTAAATATCAAAATGTTTGTATACTTTACTACTCCTTTTTTCTTTGAAAAATATAACTGTTTTTGTTGTGCCTAATTTAATGTTTTGGTTGGAAGTTCAGTGGTTGGCCATGTTTCGGGTATTGATGAAGCAGCGTGGAGAGTACAGATACAGTATACTTGGCCTGAAGTCATGTAACTTGGCACTAACAGATTGTGCTGCAAAGTCTGCCAGAGAAAACACCATCAGTGAAAAGCCAGCTAATTTCATTAAAACTGTTTTCAATAAACACATCAGCTTGTTTGGTATAGACGTTGGGCATGTGGTCCATTTGGTAAGTTTATGAGACCTTATCTGACAATTTGTGTCTGCTAAGACCAGGAGTTCCTTTATAACTGTATTGATTTACCATTTGTATAAACACTGAAGATGATATGGAACAACCTTCAGCTATAGACGACTGTGAAGGATGCACACAAAATTGCACACCATGCCAGAAATCAACCATTTCAAGAAGATACGGCCTGTCTTTTATCTGTAAATCCATCAGGTTGGTTACACACACTGCTGCACAATGCCTAAAGTTTTGTGTAAACTCACCAAGGAAAATCAATTCTGTTTCATCTCCTGGCAAATTTACTTTGCAAATATTTGAAATACCATACCACCAGTGAGTTGGTTTATCTATTTACACTGTACAACACAAGTTTAATGAATTAGTATGCCTTTAAGCAGGATCTTCTCCAGTCCAGGATGTTTATAAATTACTGGATATTATATAATGTGTCTGTAAGACACGACACCCTCTAGATGTGTTATAAAAAGGAACCTGCGGGAACACTTGGGAACTATACTATCATAGAATCTGTGTAAATAAACTTTCTTTGGGACTGTACTTAACATCAAATAGGTTTTATTTTAAAACACTGTATTTTCACAACAATACCATATTTTGAAAATCACTCATAGGTCCAGAAGTCTTATCATAAAATGTACTTATCATAAAATGTAGTACATTTTATATCCTTTTATGTACATGCAATGACCTAGCAATTATGAAGTTGGCTTATGGGCAGATTTCTAATGCAGTTTCTATGCCAGGATATGTATTTGAAATAGGATCAGGGGCCTGGGATTGGTTTATATCTGATTATATGCCTAGGTAATACAGTGTACTTCTTGGACCTGCTCCCTAAATATAGAGGTCTGTGTGTATATTGAAGACCAGTGTAGGTATGTACTTTATGTGCAGGAAGTGGTTGGTGTATGTTGTGTTTGGGCCTGTTACCTATCCATCACCACCCTCCCTCACACTGGACAGACAGGGCCTGTTGCCCAGAGCTACACCAGCTGTTGTACATGTACCACAGTTATATATACATCATGGGTCTTAATAAGTTTTTAAAGAAGATCAACATCACAGAGTTCCAAGAGGAAAGAGAATCACAAGGTAGCATCCCATTTCCTACGATCTGTTTCTGACTGCCAATGTGCAAGTTAAGTTCCCAAGATGAACCCCAGAGTGCAAAGCAAACAAAGAGTATTTAGTTCATAATGAAAGTCAC